TTGGAGCCAACCCCCCACCCCTCCAACTGGCAACAGAACATTTGCATCTCTTTATACCAGTTCTAAGGGACGCGGGTGGCGCTGTGGTCTAAACCACAGAGCCTAGGGCTTGCCGATCGGAAGGTCACCGGTTCGAATCCCCGTGACGGGGTGAGCTCCCGTTGCTCGGTCCCAGCTCCTGCCAACCTAGCAGTTCGAAAACACATCAAAGTGCAAGTAGATAAATAGGTACCGCTCCGGCAGGAAGGTAATCAAATAGTTACTCCTAAAGGTACCTTTTCAAACATGCGTTAAGAATGCATTGCCAGCTTCTCTGGGCTACACGGCTGCACCAGAGCTACCTGGGAAGCCATGCCTGGACTCCCCATGGCTGCATCGCTAAGAGGGGAACTTGGCAGTGGGGCAGCTGCAGGGGCAGGTGGGGCTGGGTAGGGCTTGCAGATAAAATAGAAAAAGCTAGAAACATGGGGGGCGGGTTGGACAAATGATTAAGAAACACGTAAACATTAAAGAGGGACGCAGGTGGCACTGTGGGTTAAACCACAGAGCCTAGGGCTTGCCGATCAGAAGGTTGGCGGTTCGAATCCCCGCGACGGGGTGAGCTCCTGTTGCGCAGTCCCAGCTCCTGCCAACCTAGCAGTTCGAAAGCACGTCAAAGTGCAAGTAGATAAATAGGTACTGTTCCGGCGGGAAAGTAAACGGCGTTTCCGTGCGCTGCTCTGGTTCTCCAGAAGCAGCTTAGTCATGCTGGCCACATGACCCGGAACCTGTACGCCGGCTCCCTCAGCCAATAAAGCGAGATGAGCGCCGCAACCCCAGAGTCGGCCACGACTGGACCTAACTGTCAGGGGTACCTTTACCTTTATACCAGTTCTAAACCTTCTGTTGCATGGGTTGCCATTTCCATAAAACCTTGGATGAGCTTCAGCTTTCCCGACAAAGATTTTTATTGGTTTGCATAAATATTTACACAATCAAATAATATTTGGGATAGCTGCATAACCCACACACCCACTGACCTTAGAGCTCCATAGACCACCCAACAGAGAAATGGGGGAAAGACAGTAAGCAGACTGTTGTAAGTAAGAGAAAATGAAACTGGATTACAGTGGTACTTGGGTTAAGAACTTAATTCGTTCCGGAGGTCCGTTCTTACCCTGAAACTGTTCTTAACCTGAAGCACCACTTTAGCTAATGGGGCCTCCTGCTGCCACTGCACTGCCACTGCACAGTTTCTGTTCTCATCCTGAAGCAAAGTTCTTAACCCAAGGTAATATTTCTGGGTTAGCGGAGTCTGTAACCTGAAGCGTATGTAACCTGAGGTACCACTGTACAGGAGAGAAGGGGCGGGGAGAGGGGTAGGGGAAGAGTTCTTGCCAAACCTCATATTGATTTCCTTTTACAGCGGTACCTTGGTTCTCAAAAGCCTTGGTACTCGAACACCTTTGTTCCCAAACTCTGAAAACCTGGAAGTAAGTGTTCCAGTTTTCAAACTTTTTTGGAAGCCGAACATCCGATGTGGCTGTCAGCTATTGTTTCCAGGGCACCTGCACCAATCAGAAACTGCACCTTGGTTTTCGAACATTTCAGAAGTCAAATGGACTTCTGGGGCCAATTAAATTTGGTCCTTTTGTTTTTGCTATTTATTTTGCATTTTTGTTAATTTGTTTTTGAGACTGTGTGGAACCCAGTTCAGCTACTGACGGACTGATTGTGAGATTGCGGAAATGGATAAAAGCCCCCCATCCAAACAATGACTACCATCAGTGAAGGTAAGAAAAAAAAATTAATTTTAATTTTTATCATCTATAATACTGTCTTATTTATTTTATAGTACAGTACATTGATTGTTGCTTTCATTTTATGGCTCATGGTCTCTTTAGATAGTAAAATTCATGTCAAATTGCTGTTTTAGGGGTTGTTTTTAAAAGTCTGGAACGGATCAATCCGTTTTGCATTACTTTCTATGGGAAAGCACACCTTGGTTTTGGAACACTTTGGTTTTGGAACGGACTTCCGGAATGGATTAAGTTTGAGAACCAAGGTACCACTGGAATTCCAAAGTACACTTGCGTAACATTGCAAGTCCTTTGACATCATCAGGAATAAAGAGGTCCAAGTTCTCTGACACTTCAGTAATCTTAGTAGCACTGAAACTATTTTGGGGAGGAAAATCGTCACTCTCGTTGTCAGTTACTTGGAACTGAGTAGCTGCTTTTTCTGATTTCCCAGTAATCAGCAAGTGGCCCCATGAGCTTGGCTGACTTGAGTGCTGAAACCCCAATCGCTCCCACTGAGACCGCCACAGCCAGATGCCTGCAGCGTTCCTTGGCATGCCGGAAAACTGGCTCCCAATTTTTGCCTTTGAGCGGGAGGGCAGCCCTTCTGAAAACCCACACGCGCAGGGCAGATCTCAATATGTGGGAACTGCAAAGCTTGTGACATGGCATTGCTAGTGAGCTGCTTGCATCCATTATCGACCAAGATTTCCAGGATTGTTTGTACGAAATGAATGGTTTCATTGTGTTAAATCTGTATGGGTAGCACTCAAAGTTATGCAGTGTTTAAATGTGGGGGACAAGCTCCGCTGGGAGCTACGAGGTAGCAATAACATTTAAATAAACAGCTATGCCTGACAGGTGAATTGTATATTTTTCAGTAAGGCATAAGTCCTCCTGGTAAATCTGAAAATTAACTGTAACCCCCTCTTTGCCAATGCTTGTTTATCACTCTGAGAAAATGCTACTCTGTGCCTTAAATCCATTACGAGGCAACAGCTCTGAAGAAAACATTATGCTGCAATTATGTATACAGGATCAGGTGAGCCGCAGAGCTCTATTGAGCTGCCTCTGTGGTGTGCATGGTTCTAATCAGAGCCAAGAGGGTGATGGAGGGGTCCACGTGTCAATCCTACCTGCTAGTGGTGCTGTTGAGGTTCAGAAATGAGCCAGCCTTCCAGGCCAAGTGAAGAATGATGCCATTGCGTGGACAGGCAGAGTCCCCCAAATCCTGGGCGGCCCCGTGTGAATGAATGAATCGAGATGACATGATATGAGATTTATTAATACGGTCACAGACCAGCATCAACACACACAATATCACAGATCACCGAAAAAAATAATTAAAAGAATATCAGAAATACAGAGGACAATATGAATATAACAAGGATTTAACATATAACAAATTAAAATTAATTATTAGCGTAGCCGCCTGTAATTAACATTTAGCGGTTTGGTCATTATGGGATACCAGCTTGCTTCCTAGCGATTAATTGCAGACGCACAGAATTTGGCTTAGCATTTAATGTAGTCTTGGGATTCGTTGTCCTCTAGCAGTAGCTGTTAAACTATGGTGTTCAGCGATTAGCTGTTCGCTGGACTTTAGCAAATCAGGTGTAATAAGAGTCAAGCGTATATCCTGCATAAAGAGGCGGACAACGTAATAGGTACATGTGAAGCAGTTTCAACTTCCAACGAGCCACAAGGGCAGACCCGTGCTGTGTATGGTTTACCCTCAAATCTGCCCTGGCCCCGTGTGGAATAACGACTCAAGACAACGTGCTTGTGGGCATTAAACTTGGCGGCACCACTTTATTATGTTTCAGATGTGGTTAGACCTTGGCTTAGGCATTGGGCGTTTATTCTTCCTAGTCCCCAGCCGGGGATCTGGGGAACGTCAGGGTTATCCAGAATGTGTGTGGACTGGAGAACGTCTGTTCAAACAGAGAGAGCCTGCCCCTGTTACGCCGCCATCGCAGGGGAGGGCAATGACGACCTCTAGGTGTACGGCGAAAGCCTCCCCTCAAAACAACCGCTTTAACGGGGAACCCTGGTATCGCTGCCTCAAAGAGGAGGGGGTGTGGGTCATCGCTAAATGCCCACCACTATTTAGGGAAGATAAAGGATTCCGCCCAAAGCCTGATACTGCCAAAGTTGTGACGTTTTGCTACGGGAAAGGCAAACCTGCCAATGCAGGAGAAATCCTTTCCAGCCCTTCAACAGCGACCTTGACATAGCAGCACCTGCGTACCTGTGGAGAAAAGGTTAACTTGCAAAAGAAGTCTTAACTGAGGGTAGGTAGGGCGGGAGAAGCTCTGGAGCCAACTGACGATTCCCAGGTAAGATCCTCCCCCTATTGTGTGGGCAGGTAGTCCCTCCCCCTACCAGGTGATATTTTGCACCTGGGTTAAGTGTGCTCCCTCCCCAGGGGAGGGGCTGCCCCGCTGTGCCGCCCCCACCAACGCATCCCTTACCTCGGTCTTGCCTCAGTAAAGGACTGGATGGGAGCCAACAAACATTAGGAAGAACTTCCTGACAGTAAGAGCTGTTCGACAGTGGAATTTGCTGCCAAGGAGTGTGGTGGAGTCTCCTTCTTTGGAGGTCTTTAAGCAGAGGCTTGACAACCATATGTCAGGAGTGCTCTGATGGTGTTTCCTGCTTGGCAGGGGTTGGACTCGATGGCCCTTGTGGTCTCTTCCAACTCTATGATTCTATGATTCTAAACAGAAGTTCAATCCGGATAAAACTGAGGCACTGTATGCAGAAATGGTGAAATTTACCAGAAGAATAAGAAATCAAGATAACAAACTTTTTATAAAAGAACTGGAATGATTTATTGAATATTTACAGATAAATCGTAAACAGATAAAAACATTGGCAGGATTATTGTAATAACCTGCAGTTTCATAAGGGTATATATTTAAAGAACATGAATAAATGAGCAAATTAAGTTAATTAGGATATGCAGAAGGTATTAAAAATAAATTTAAGGAACTGCAGAAAGAGGGGGGAGTACGTCAAGTTTTGAAATGTTAAAATGATTGTAAAATCAGTGAAATGTATAAACCTGAGAAATATAAATAATTTTTATTTTTTTATTTCAAAAGAGGGACACAAGAGTTGCCTGCGTGTCACAATCATGTCACACGCGTGTCACAATGAATGGTCTGAAACTTGCAGAATCATTCTTACTTGACTTTGAGCTGGCAAACAAGATCTTAAGGCAGCGGCTATCATGAAAGGTCATGATTCTCTTAGATTGAGAAGGTGAACTTTTTTGCTTTAGGACTGCTTAAGTATTTCTGTAAAATCCTCACTCTCTCCCATCAACAAAGACCAAACTGACACATAGGCAGGACATGACTCTACAATTAGCAAGTTAAAAAGGACCAGATAAATTATCTGTTCTCTTCCTGACTGTCTACAGCATGGTGATCCCTTTCTCAAATGTGCTTTGTTTCTGTTGGATGAATATAACCAAACTTTCCTGTCTGTCCTGAGATTAACCCCCAGTGCTCAGTCAAGGATCAATCAGACTTTCAACTCACTAACATTTTGGTTTATTTTGTCCTCTTAGGCAAAAATAACTCCTGGGTGTTAATGGCACCATGCTTTGCTCAGATCAAGAATCGCAGGGTGCCTATTTTGAAACTAATTACTCACTTAAGCAATTGCTTCCATCTCTTTTGCCCCACAGTGAGCATAATATAAAGATAAAGGTAAAGGGACCCCTGACCATTAGGTCCAGTCGTGGCCGACTCTGGGGTTGCGGCTCTCATCTCGCTTTATTGTCCAAGGGAGCCGGCGTACAGCTTCCGGGTCATGTGGCCAGCATGACTAAGCCGCTTCTGGCGAACCAGAGCAGCGCATGGAAACGCCATTTACCTTCCCGCTGGAGTGGTACCTATTTATCTACTTGCACTTTGACGTGTTTTCGAAGCGGGAGCAGGGACCAAGCAACGGGAGCTCACCCCGTCGCGGGGATTTGAACCGCCGACCTTCTGATCGGCAAGTCCTAGGCTCTGTGGTTTAGCCCACAGCACCACCTGCGTCCCTGAGCATAACATACAACAATACAAACAACCAAATAAAAGAATTCCTTTATCCTGCATCTGGCCTCCTTATTTACTTCTTATAAACTGTTTCCTTTAGGAATAATTATTAAGATTTTCTTAATTATAACTTAAATATCCACAAAGTCTCCTGCAGACCCCGACACATGTTTTGTGCAGCAACTCAGCGCCTTGAGTCGAACTGCTCCTCTGAACGTCTCACCCGTTCCTTAACTCCTTACCTGCCTCTCCCCAGGGGTGCTGCACCCTCAGCCAAGGGTCTTCTGTTTCCTGGGCCCTCTAGTCTGTGCTGAAGACACACGTGGAGGACAGCCCTTTGGGCTCCATGGCAATCCCTTCTCTCCCCTCTTCAAAGGCAGATGAGGCACATCTGACAGGACTAGGCGAGTCAAACAATAAGAAGTGAAGTAATAAGATTATGATTAAAAGTACACCTTGATAGTGTAGTATCCATCAAGCTGTCGTGGAAACTGCATCTCTGCAGCCGCTTTCATCAATCTGACCTTTCCGTTATTACCCACAGTTCACAGCTCTAAGTGCCTATAATTCCTGCCTTGAAAGGTGCCTGAAATATGCCCAATGTCTCTACTGGTTCCATTTGCAAGTGGTTGAGCATAGCCCTCTCTCCTCCTCCTCCTCCTCCTCCTATAATTTTTATTTGATTTTACAAGTATAGAATGATAACAATACAAAATACATATCCATATTTAGAGATTTCTCCAAATTTCTGGACTTCCCATCTTCCCTTCCATGGGTCCTATTGTCAACCTTTTCAACTGCCTATTATTCAGTAATCCATATTTTGTATCTCTCCATTTTTGTCCATAATATTGGCTACATTGCAATCCTGCTAATGCTTTCATATGCTTACAGTGGTCTCCCAGGTAAATTTCAAATTTCCCCCATTCTTTATTAAAGTTTTGGTCTCCTTGGTTCCTGAGCTTTCCGGTCATTTTTACCATTTCGGCTTAGTTTGCCATTCCTCTCTGTTAGGGACTCCTTTTCATCTCTGGGCTCGTAGCATCCGTGTGGCTGTCGTTGCATACATAAAAAGTCTTTTCTGCTCCTTTGGAATCTCAGTACCTACAATACTTAATAAATAAGCTTCTGGTTTTTAAAAAAATAAAAGTTATTTTAAACGTTTTTTCAGTTCATTACCTATCATTTCCCAGAATGCTTTTATTACTTTGCACGTCCACCGCATATGATAAAAGGTGCCTTCTTTTTCTTTACATTTCCAGCAGATAATTGTACTTGTCTTATACATTTTTGCTAACTTACTAGGGGTCAAATACCACCGGTACGTCATTTTCATATAATTTTCTTTCAATGTACAACGTGCTGAGAAATTCAAATCAGTTTCCCAATCTGAAAAGTGGATATTATGCCCCAAATCTCTCGCCCATTGGAGCACAGCCCTTCTGACCCTGGTGAGCCATGTTCTGCTTTGTCTAAACAACGGCTTTGCTGTGGGAATTCAAAGCAAAAGCAAATTGCACATCTCTGGTTACAGAAACTGAAAGAAAACTCAGGCTGCTGGATTGTTGCCGGATGTGGTTGTCAACACGCCCACATATAAGTTCATGTAAATGTAGCTTTCTTTCCAGCACTCACCCGAATATAGAAACTAGTCTAAGAAAATCTGAGAATCCTCCTCACCAGCCACAATTGTAGCTCATGCCTCCTCGTTCTTCAGCTAATTATGAGAACCTTGGACATGACAGCAAGGCATAAAGGTAAAGGGACCCCTGACCATTAGGTCCAGTCATGGCCGACTCTGGGGTTGCGGCGCTCATCTTGCTTTATTGGCCGAGGGAGCCGGCGTACAGCTTCCGGGTCATGTGGCCAGCATGACTAAGCCACTTCTGGCGAACCAGAGCAGCGCACAGAAATGCCGTTTACCTTCCCGCCGGAGCGGTACCTATTTATCTACTTGCACTTTGATGTGCTTTCGAACTGCTGGGTTGGCAGGAGCAGGGACCGAGCAATGGGAGCTCACCCCGTCGTGGGGATTCGAACCGCTGACCTGCTGATCGGCAAGCCCAAGAGGCTCAGTGGTTTAACCCACAGCGCCACACACACACAAATACACGCACACACCAGGGAGATGTGCAAGCTATTCCCTCACTGGGAATTTGGCGTTTCTCTGTGGGAAAGCTGTGAAAATTCCAGAAGCTCTGAGGCGGAAAGCCAAGGTGATTGCAATCAAGGTTGCTCACGGCGCAGGATGCCTTTCCTAAAGCTTCCTTCTCATCTCCACAAGCATCTCTGCAATAAAATCTTCCAGGTTTCTTTTTTCCTTCCCCATTAATGTTAGCCTTCTGGCCCAGCTAAGATGTCTGCTGCTGCCCTCTATTTGCATCGGTACAAGCTAGCAATTTCTATCGAACATTTTCAGCCGGCAGCAGCCTGAAACATTAACTGAGTCAGAACAACACGCAACGTAGGAAGTGCAATAGCCCCAGCGCAGGACTGACCGTGAGCGTGTCAGGGTGCTAAAAGGCAGCAAGGAACAACTTAAGGAAAGAATGGCTCACTCTCTCTCTGTGTGTGTGTGTGTGTGTGTGTGTGTGTGTGCGTGCGTGTGTGTGTGTGTGGTTTTGATTGTAAAGGAAAACACTCAAAGAGGTTTACAAAAAGAATGAAAGAATAAAAATATGAATAAAAGCAGCTAAAAACAGCTATTCAAGTAATGTAAAAAATAAACACTATTCTTATTCAGGTTATGCGCTTTCGATGCTAATGTTTTACAGGCATCCTGGGCACGGTGACAGAGTTGTAGAATTTTTGGTTGATGATTAAGAAGCCCCCGCTTTTCCTCTTATTTTTTTGAAGTCGCACCTTGCAAGGGAGCCTAGCGACTACCTTGGAAACGGGTCTCTAAACTCCATCCCCTGAGCTTGTGAGGGAGGCTGCGAGACCTGCGGCTGGTGGAGCCTGTCAGAAACCCACCAAGTATGTTGCTTGCCATGACACTACCGGGGTGTGTTATAATTCACCCTTTCTCTTCTCCTCTCGAAAGAGTTTGTATGTAAATTTCAACCTATTTTAAGGGTTATTTTCACTCAAGTGAAATCTATCAAGGAAGGAGGTTATTTTTACAGTGCACAGCAACTGCTGGTCACCATGACAACCGGCCTGGTGAAACGCAATAAAGCATCCCTCTCTTATCGTAAACACAAAAGGGAACCTCTGAAGTCTAAGAGAAAGGCAATTATTATTGGGTGGGGGAAAGGGGCAAAGGAGTATTTTCAACATCACATGGCTCTTCTTAGCTTAGAAAGTTATCCCTGGCAAGCTTTTGCCACATCCCCTGGCCCAGGAGAGATGGAACGGGGTGGGGTATTGTGCCACAGAAGCATAAAATCAGGGACAATGTATCAATTTGGGTGGCCCAATGCATAGGGCAGAATAAGGGTGCACATGTCCTTTCCATTTCTACTGTCATTTCTACAGCCCTACAAATCCACAGTCCTCAACCATGTGGCCATCAGCATGGAAAATAGCCAGGGAACCAACCACGACACTGGGGCCCACAAGTGCAGATGGCAGGATGTTGTCAGCAGCTCCCGGCTGGATGCCCAGGAAATTATAAAGACAAGGGAAAGTTTCTTACCGTCCTTTTCTATTTCAATATTACAGAGAGGCTATAGAACCCAGCCTCTTGGATAATAGTGTTGTCCCAAGTGAATCTCCACCTGTCTCTCCCACTTCCTCATCCGTCACTTGTAAAGGTGCTGCTATATGCTTCTGTCTTTGAGCTCTTTGCTCTTCTACTTTCAAGGCTCGCCAGTTCTGGGAGATGGAGGGTCTGGGATGCTTCAATGACAACGTGTCAGCTGGGTGTTGTTCCGACTCTCCCATGATGTCCCAGCTTTCCCCCTCATCTGCCTCTGAGCTGAAACCTCCCTCAAACCCCTGTTGTAAATCTATACTGTCTTCCTCTTCCTCCTCCCTGGGAGGGTCAGGACGGCGAGGGGGTCTCCACCATTCCTCCTCTGCCCAGTCCCTGACAGCTGAATATTATGCGCATGACACAATATGGGATCCCCATGACAGGAAGGCCATGCACAGCTGCACACTTTGCCCCAAGGTATCTCCTTGTTTTAAGCAAGGTTGCCTCTCCCAGCTTCTTTCTGGAAATATTAAATGGTGTTATTAAATATTAAATATTAAACATGTGAAAAGGATCTAGGAGTCTTGGTTGACCACAAACTTGACATGAGCCAACAGTGTGACGCGGCAGCTAAAAAAGCCAATGCAATTCTGGGCTGCATCAATAGGAGTATAGCATCTAGATCAAGGGAAGTAATAGTGCCACTGTATTCTGCTCTGGTCAGACCTCACCTGGAGTACTGTGTCCAGTTCTGGGCACCACAGTTCAAGAAGGACACTGACAAACTGGAACGTGTCCAGAACAGGGCAACCAAAATGGTCAAAGGCCTGGAAACGATGCCTTATGAGGAACGGCTAAGGGAGCTGGGCATGTTTAGCCTGGAGAAGAGGAGGTTAAGGGGTGATATGATAGCCATGTTCAAATATATAAAAGGATGTCACATAGAGGAGGGAGAAAGGTTGTTTTCTGCTGCTCCAGAGAAGCGGACACGGAGCAATGGATCCAAACTACAAGAAAGAAGATTCCACTTAAGCATTAGGAAGAACTTCCTGACAGTAAGAGCTGTTTGACAGTGGAATTTGCTGCCAAGGAGTGTGGTGGAGTCTCCTTCTTTGGAGGTCTTTAAGCAGAGGCTTGACAACCATATGTCAGGAGTGCTCTGATGGTGTTTCCTGCTTGGCAGGGGTTGGACTCGATGGCCCTTGTGGTCTCTTCCAACTCTATGATTCTATGATTCTATGATTCTGTGTTAATATAGCCAAAAGAGAAGCAGTGATGCTTGCACAGCTTCCT